AATACGGGACACTTCGTCGGGCAAACTATGTCGCTTGTCTTCTACCGCCGTCGTGCCTCCCCGCACTCCCGGGGTTTTTTTTTTTTTTTTACTTTGCTTGCGCAGTCATCAGCTTTAATACCCTTGCAAGGTTTTTTTTTTTTTTTTTTTTTTTTTACATTGCCTTACAACGAGATCGGCGCATTTGCGTCACTTGGTCCCACGACCTTGTTCATCACGATGTCGTCGTGATAGTTCCTCTCTCTCTCTCTCTCTCTCTCTCTCTCTCTCTCTCTCTCTCTCTCTCTCTCTCTCTCTCTCTCTCTCTCTCTCTCTCCCTCTCTCGCTCTCTCTCTCTCTCTCCGTCTCCCTCTCTCTCTCTCTCTCTCTCTCTCTCTCTCTCTCGCTCTCTCTCTCTCTCTCACTCTCTCTCGCTCTCTCTCTATCTCTCTCGCCCTCCCTCGTTCTCTCTCTTTCTCTCTCTCTCTCTCTCTCTCTCTCTCTCTCTCTCTCTCTCTCTCTCTCTCTCTCTCTCTCTCTCTCTCTCCCTCTCTCGCTCTCTCTCTCTCTCTCCGTCTCCCTCTCTCTCTCTCTCTCTCTCTCTCTCTCTCTCTCTCTCTCTCTCGCTCTCTCTCTCTCTCTCACTCTCTCTCGCTCTCTCTCTATCTCTCTCGCCCTCCCTCGTTCTCTCTCTTTCTCTCTCTCTCTCTCTCTCTCTCTCTCTCTCTCTCTCTCTCTCTCTCTCTCTCTCTCTCTCTCTCTCTCTCGCTCTCTCTCTCTCTCTCTCTCTATCTCGCTCTCCCTCCCTCTCCCTCGCTCTCTCTCTCTCTCTCTCTCTCTCTCTCTCTCTCTCACTCTCTCTCTCTCTCTCTCTCTCTCTCTCTCTCTCTCTCTCTCTCTCTCTCTCTCTCTCTCTCTCTCTCTCTCTCTCCTTCTTCTTTGTTCTTCTCTCGGTCCTTGCTTTGTCTTGCACTCCTGGCCAATTCCTCCTCCGTGGCTGCCTTCCTCAAGAGGGGGCTGATGTTTTATTTGTTGTGCCATTTGTCTTCTCGTTTCGTGTTGGCTCCCTTTCTCTCTCTCCATTGTTCGTATTTTTTTTTTTTTTTTCAATAACAACAATCTTTTATTAATCCACACAAGGGCATACAAGCCAAGCCTACACCATAACCAGCCCCTACGGCGGCCATCTTGCCCTGGCCCCCATGGCCTATCCTACTCCCCAAGGCTCCTAACCAGCCTACGCACCACCGGTGCATCCACCTACGCCCCCCGGCATAGTGGCAAGGGGCGCCGCCCCATGGGTCCTCTCACACCATGGGTGCGGGACCTTGTGCGCCACGCCCTCCCATAGGGCAATTATTTGCCATATGGCCGGGCTGGCCGCAACGGAAACACACCCCCTTGAAGCGGGGCTCATGGCAGCCCGCGGGTGGCATGCCTTTGCTTTCCGGTTCACCGTCTCGAGGGGGAAGGCGGCCTCCGCGGGCGAAGCCGGTACGTGCACGCTTGAGGGCCGCCACGTCGGCTTCCGCGAGCTTGTAAGAGCGGGATGTGAGCACGCTCTTGGCTTGGTACAGCTGGAACCGATCCGCCGCTTCGAAACCGGCCTCATCCGCCACCAAGAGCACCTCGAAGCGTTTGTTGATCAACGTGTCGATTTGCTCCACGTTGGAGAGCGCGCCCTCGACGTCGCCGTTTTGGAGCTTGAACTCGACGTGCCTCAGGTGAGCTTGAATTGCAGAGAACACCTCCGCCTGGTCACGCACTCCCTTGCGCATGAAGGTAGTAGCTGCGGGTGAAGGGTTGAGGGGGGGAAGGGGAGGTGCGGGTGCGAGAATGCGATGACGGGCAAGGTTGTCGGGGGCCTCACCGTCTTCATTTTCTGAGTCGTCGCTGTCGTCGGGGATACGGGCTTGGGTTGGTGCCGGAGCTGGGGCGGGAGCAGGAGCAGCGTTGTTGGTGCGAGCGATTTTGGTGGAGCGGGGAGCCGCGACAGGTTCCTTCTGCTTTTCGATTTTAGCTGACGCAGAAATTTCTTCAGCTGATGTAGCTGCAGTCGACGGTGCGTGCTGCTGCAATAACGAGAGCAGCGCCTGTAGTTGCTGCGCGGTCAAAGGGGTGGGGGCGGCGTTGACCGGGGTGACGTCAGCGGAGGGTGCCGCGCGCTGGCGTTTCTGGGTCGTGGGCCCGGATGGACCCGCGTCAGCGGCGGTCAAGACGACCGCCGCGTCAGCGGCGGTCGTCGTCTTCTGCGCAGCACGCGCGTGCCTGCCAGGCACGCGCTCTTCAACAGCAGCCACGCGCGACTGTACAACAGTCGCGCGTTCCTCAGAGGGGGGTCCGAAGGGCGCCTCCGAGCAGGAGGTCGACCGCCGAGGGTCCCTCGCTTGAAATTTCCTCGGCGGGACGTTTTCCGCCGCGACGATCCGTTGTCACGGCCGGAGTCGAGGTTTCCGCCGCGTTACCGGCAGGGCTCTCGTTATCAGGGTAAAATACCCTTTTTGCACTGACTGGCGGCCGCTTTTTTTCACTTACCCTTACCCAGGCAGGGTACTGGGATTTTTACCCTAGGCCTGAAAGTGTTGGTTTTTTTTTACCCTTTGAAATACAGCATTCCGGAAACGTTTCACTGACTGTACAGGGTACGATTTCACTTACACTGATACCGAGTTTCTCGAAGCGAGGTTTCCAGAAATGCTGCAGTAGCGAATCGGACAACAAGACCAACATGAGCACAACACGACATGAACCATAGGTGCATACTCGGCATTTTTCACGCGTTGTGCCCTGAACACACCACATTGGTGGAATTGGCAGACACCCTGCCAGCGTGACACAGAATCAAAGCCAGAGCAGCAATTGACAGCTGCCCCACTTGTCTAATAGCGCGCCGACACCACAGCGGGGCACGGATGCTGCTTTCGTGCTGACGAGGGCACTTGCTTGCTGCCAAACGTGTCCACCGCTGGCCATGCAACAAGGCGCTCCGCGCTACTCACGGGTGCAGGAGGGGGTCGTTCTCACAAGAACACCCCATCTTCTTGATCCTTCTCATACCCTAGGTGTGAGAACCACCTAGGCCTTGGTCCCTCACAGTCATGCCTGCCGAGCAACCTCCCCAGTCCCCTGGTGCAGTGCGTAATGGCCTTTCAGTGCTTGGTGTTCTTCCCCGTCATGTTGACACCTACAGCGTCCCCATCGCACCGTTGCCCCGTCCAGCCTCTCCACAACGTAGTGTGGGTACAGTGTACCCGTTTGAGCCGCCGTCCACTTCTGCTGACTGGGAGCCGCACCCGTCAATTGTGCTTGTGCCAGGCGGAGGCGAAGGGTCGTCTAGACCTGCCGCGGCTTCACCAGACACTGTGAACAGCACCCCGGGGAAACGCCCGCGTGTCGGAGTGAAGTACATGCAACAGCGACTATGGGGAGCCCCGCCACCCCGAAAAGAGGCATCGCCTCGACGTCCAGTTGCCAGTGAGAACGAGGCGCCACCGAAAACGACCGGTGATGTACTCTACGAGACCATAAAGCATCGCTATGATACTGAGTGGAAAGGAAAATTCAAGTGGTTGCGTCTTATTCGTCTGCCTAACGGGAATGCAAAGCTCAAGTGTGACATCTGTGTGCAGCATGGCGACCCCGCCGCTCACACAAGCTACGGTGCGCGAGGTGAAGGTGGCCGCGACCTCCAGATTGGGAGCGTGCGTGCCCATTCGTCAACACGTGCGCACAAGAACGCGGTCAAGGCTCAAGAAGAAGCAGCAGCTGACAAGGCGAAGCAGGCGACGCTGACACGTTGGCAGACGACTGACGCGTCCACGCGTCACATCATTCGCGTTCTGCACATCGCCCTGTTCATCTGCAAGGCGGATGCGCCGATCGCGATGTTCATCCCGCTCTGCTGGTTCTTGGCTAACGAAGGCCTTCCAGACCTTCCTAATGGTGGTGGCTACGGCGCCTACTACACAGAGTAAGCAACGGTTGTTTTGAACGGGTGGTTTTGGTGTTACCAGAAACTGACACGTTTGGCGTGCGTTGTTTTTTTGTGCAGATATGGATTCAAGGAGAACCTGCGGGCCATCTCAACATACCTCCAAGAAATTCAACGGTCTCACTTGCTGGAGTCGCCTTGGATTGGGTTGTCCCTCGACGAGAGCACCGACAGAATCCACGGGAAACATCTCATCGTTTATGCAACTTTTTTCCGTGGCACCCAAGCGGTCAACGAGTTCATCACTCTCATCACTGTTGACCGTTGTGATGCAGCGTCTCTAACGTCTGCTGTTGTGCAGTACCTGACAGGGATTAGGTTGGATTTACAGAAAGTCTCTGCCATATCAACGGACGGCGCTAGCGTCATGGTGGGGAAGAACAATGGTGTGGTCGCCAGGCTTCGCATGAGGATCCCGCACCTCGCCTCTTTGCACTGTGTCGCTCATCGGTGAGTGTGCATGGGCCCCCTTGGTTATGACGTTGCACTGTGGGAACATTGACTCACCCAAGTTGAACTGTGTGTACTTGGCAGAGAGTCACTTGCTGCAAGCGATGCTGCGGATGCTGTTCCGGAGCTGTACATGGTAGACACTGTCATACGTGGCTTCGCAAATCTCCTCGGCCGTTCGAACGTCAAGTACGAGAAGTTTCAGAACATCCAGCAAATTTTCTGCAAGACGAACCTGGAGGCTCAGGGAATACACACCGTACGCTGGCTGTCACGGGGTGAGGCAGTCCGTCGCTTCCTTGAGATCCTACCTGCTGCCATTGTGGTGCTGAAAGAGTATAACGATGACCTGTACGAGATTGCCACCTCTTTCAAGTTCCAGTGGTTGATCCGGTTGCTTGCTGATGTGCTGTGGGAGTTGAACCATCTCAACGAACGGTTCCAGCAACGGCAGGTAAAGACAGCATGCATCGGTTTCATTCGTGGCTCCCATTGCGTAACACTGACCCTTTCGTATGATCGGCCTGAACAGATCGACGTCACCCTCGTGTCCCATCTCGTGGAGCAGACACGAATGCGCATGAAGAACCGGTACTTGAACTTCGCGCCGGGACAGCACTTCGCCAGCGGAGAAAAGATGACGCTGTACGACTTCATTCAGCGCCATCAGAAGATGGACAAGCGGGAGGTGAAGGCGGAGGGCGTGGACAAAGATGGCAACCCCGTAACATTCAGCTACACGCTGCACGAGAGGGCCATTGAAGGGCAGGAGACGGACGGCGATGTCACTGCCTGTTTCGAGCTGTCGCTGAAGTTCGTGCGGGCTGTGGACGTGGAGCTGGAGTGGCGGATGAGGGACCTGCAGCAGCTGGAAGGGTCGAAGCTCTTTCGGTCTGCGTCATACGTTTCCGACGACGCCAAACGCGTGGAAAACTTCAAGACATGGCTGGCTAAGCTGCACAAGCTCTACAAGAACAAGCTCCCAGGTATGTGTCGCTGAAGTCGAGTTATCCACCGGTGTCTTGTGATCCCAAATACAACGGCGTTGCTATCCCATCTCACTTGCCATTCATCCGCCATACTGTTCGGCCATGTGTCTGTCACCTATACCTGCCCGAGAGTAGCACATCGGTTGGTTGGTTTAATTATCCCCCTTCCACCCAGTTTCTGCGTGTATAGCTCGGTGTTTTCTCATACCCGCACTACAGGATTCGACTATGTCAAAGCGCAGAGCGAGATCTGGTTGTTCACATCGACGATGTTTTCCCAACACAACAATGAGGACTTCCATCAGGCGTTGGGCAACATGCTCCGCGACGACGACTGGCAGCACTCGTTCCCGAACTTGATGAAGATGTGGCAGGCAGTTGCCGTCCTGCCACTGAGCACGGTCGAGTGCGAGAGGGGGTTCAGCAAACAGAACCTGATCAAGACGTGGGGGCGTGGCTGCCTTTCAGACACCACACTGGAGCACTTGATGCGCTGTTCGCTGCTGCAGTATGAGATGGACTGGTACGAGGTGGTGTCCATCTTCCGGGGAGAGAAGCTGCGGAGGTCAACAAGGGACTTCAGTGGCACAAATCCGGGCGAGGCTATCTTTGCTGAACCCGTTGTAGAGTCTTCAGACCCTGTTGTTGGAGAATGAGATGTATTTGGAGGTTCCCAAAGTGTGCTAGTAGCTAGTTTGCAACTAGAAACAACTGTACTGTTGCTATAGTGCAATTACTTATTGATGGGGTAGGTAGCCTGCCAAAATCAGTGTATGGCAAATACTACACTGACTGGTTCAGCATGGGAGAAATTTTACACTGACTTTGACAGGGTACGAAAATTTTTACCCTAACCATTAGGGTTGACTACACCTGCGACCCTGATTACAAAGGGTGCCCCAAAACGAATCTGGAGCCCTGGTTACCGGGGCTAGAATTATTCGAATTGTCGCGGTTAAGTGCCGGGTTGACCGGAGCCATCGTTGCGAGGTTGCGCTTAAGGATGTCGTTAAGGAGCGTTGACGGGGCAGTGAAACGCGGAAGCGACTGAGTCTTTGCCAGTGTGGACGAGAACGAAATTAGAACTACAATTTTGAAAATGAAAACGTGGGTGGGGACGAATGTCCCCACGTCCCTCTTTTGTAGGCAAAAGAGGGTGAGTAGCGCTTCGGCGCTACCTTTGCTGTGTTGGCCACGTACCCCTTTTCACAATACAAAATTTTAGAAAGTGTTACATTTCATTACACTTTCAAAAATTATCATCTTTGTTTGTCCCACAAAGAAGTGTGCCCTGATCCTGCCAATATACGTACCTGTTCCACTCCACTACCTGCAGATACTACAGGTAACTGTGCAATACACGGGATTACAGGCAATTGTGCACCATCAACTCAACTGCAAATCAGCAGCAAGCAAACCCAAAAATGGTACCGTTTGGTATTCCCAAGAACCAGCCGAGCCTGAACGTCAGCTCCCTTTCCAAAGCAGGCTTGTGAGCAGCAGCTGTCTGCCCCCCTTTCAACTGACACATCCCTGCTTCCACTGCCACCAGTCCCTCCCCTCCCACAGGTGGTATTCCCACGAGAACTCACCCGAGCTCTCCACGAGAACGTGAGCTCTCTTTCCAGAGCAGGCTCCTGAGCTGCACCCATCTCTTCCCCCTTCTAGTCTCTTCTTAAGGCACCTCAAAGAACGACCAAAAGCCCTGGTAAGCTTCAGTCGAGCCTGAATGTGAGCTCCCTTTCCAAAGCAGGCTCCTGAGGAGCAGCCGTCTCTTCTCCCTTCAACTCACAACCCCGTGCTTCCACTGCCACTGATCCCTCCACTCTCGCTCTTCCGTCCTGGCCTCGCCGCTCTCCACCCCTCTCCACCCCTCTCCACCCCCCTCCACTCTCTCTCCCAAGCCCGCCTCCCTCCCCTGCTCTCTCCCCTGCTCGACTCGCAGCCAGCCCACTCCTCCCCACACCCTGTCCTCTCCGTGCCAGCACCGCTGCCCCTATCTGTGGGTCAGAGCTTGTTCTCCTGTGCCTACCCCTTCCGCTCCCCCCTCCTCCCCCCCCTTCTGTTCGCAGATGCTCCACGACACGGGTCCGCACAGGTAAACCCTTCCCGCCACCCTCATTCCCTGCTATTCCTTCCCCTTCCATTGATCTTCTGCGCGATGTTGGTGCTACTCCCTGTCTCACTGCTGCACCTGGGTCTCCCTCCCTCCCAACCTCCCTTCCTCCATCCCTCCCCGCGTCTCGCCCCACTGCCCGCCCCTGCCCCTCCCCCAGATCACGTTCTCGGCTCATCCCATGGGGTTGCCTCCAAGGCGGGGGCCTCTGTTGTTGTTGCTGCTGCTGCTGCTGCTGCTGCTGCTGCTGCTGCCCCTCTGCTCCTCTCAGGTACCGGCTTCGTCTGGTAACCGCTGCTGAGTCAGCAGTGGTCGGGCGGCCACTAGTGGACAAAGACTGCGACTTCACAAACCCAAGAAGCCGCGGATCCGCCGACCCACCCACGCGCGGTAGCGAATGCGCCCTGGATGCATGCTCAGGACTCTCCCCCCACTCCTCCTCATCCTCCCCCTCCACCTCCTCCTCTGCGTCTGCCTCTACCGCTGCCGCACCTCTTGCTGGTCTGCTAACCACAGCAGCAGCGCCGCCAACAGAAGCACTCTTGAAGAGGAACGCCTGTGGAGCAGCCCTGAGCTCAGAGACTCGCTGGTTCTGCCTCACGCGGGACCACTCCCACTCCCACTCCCTCTCCAACCCATCATCATCCTCCTCCGCTCCTCTCCCCCCTGCCACACTTGACACTTTCGCCCGGCTTTTCCCCTCGCTCAGTGCCCCCTCCCCGTCCCTCCCCCTGCCTGCTACTCCCTGGCTGCTTACAGCCCCAACCTTTTTCTCGGGCAGCCCGTTCTCGTGCAAAGCCGTGGGGTTCTGCTGCCCGAGCTTTGCCTGCAGCAGCCGCTGCCGTTCCCGTGCCAGCTGTCGCAGCTCCTCCTCCTCCTCCGCCTCGCTGTCACTCAGATCACTGCAAAACCCACCAGCATCACCAGCACTCGCAGCACTGGCAGCACTGACAGCACCAGGAGCACTGCCAGCAACACTAGCACTGCCCCGCCCATCGCTCCTATCCAAGTTCATGCCCTCGCTGCCCCTCCTCTCACCCTCCCTCACACTCCCTCTCTCTCTCACCCCTCGTCCCGTTTCCTCCTCGTCACTCGCATCCTCACTGTCACTCGCCAGCACTCGCGCCCGTTCCTCCCGCGCGCGCCACCCCTCTGCACGCGCTGCACTTCCCCCACCTTCCCTCCCCGCCCTCTCAACCCTCACCGCTGCCTTCACAGGCGCTCCTCCCCGTGCCTGTGCGCCCGCTGCTCTCTCCCCCGTGCTCCGTATCCCCACTCTCCTTTCAAGCTCTGAATCATTCAAGTCTTCTTCTTCCACCTCATCCTCATCCTCATCCTCCTCATCCTCCTCATCTTCCTCCCCACTCAGCACCCCAGCCACCTTAAACTGCATCACAAACGGTTGCCCCATCGCCCCCCCGCTCCCCCCAACAGCCACAACGTCCCCCCCTCCCGCTTCTCCGCCAACCCGCCCTCCTGCTCGCCTTTCCCCGTCTCTCTTAGGTTGTCTGACCCGCTGTTCTGGGGAAAATGGGCCACTGATCGTCCCTCCCCTTCCCCCACCCCTCCCCGCGCCCCTTCCCCCCACTTGCCCTCCCCTGTTCCCCCGCCCCTCGCCCCCCATCGCCCTGTCCTTCCCCCCTGCGCTGATTTGCGCGGAACTGGCTCCTGCCACACCAGCGGACCTGCCCCGCGCGCTAACCTTCCGCCCCTGGCCCCCCTCCCCCCCACCGTCACCCTCGCTATTGTCACTCTCGTCGCTATAATCCGATTGCCTAACCTGCCTACGGGGAGCCAGCACTGTTCCCGCCACCACCGCTTCCCCCGACGCGGAACTGAGGGGGAGCGGCGCAAGGTCGTGCGCGGGGGAAGAAAGCGACTGACGGTGCGCGCCGCGCGCACCGCCTGACGCCGCGCCGTCGGGACCCCCGCGGCTGGAACCAGCAGCGCTGGGCGCGCCGAAGTGTTGCGGAAAGCGGTTGCGCGGAACGGAAGGTTGCGCGGAGGAGTCCCGCGGAGTCAACCCCGCGTGAGAGAGCCGCTCGCGCTTCTCCTGCTCCTGCTCCCTTCCGCCCACGTCCTCCTCTTCCCCTTCCCAATCGAGACTGTCTATACTGGAGCTATCATCCCCCACATCGTCCTCGAGGCGTCCCGCAATCCCCCCCTTTTCCCCCGCCCTTCCCCCGTCTGCGCCGGTTCCGCTCCTCACGTGCAGAAGCGCGGGGTTCGACGCGCTTCGGACGCAGCCCGCGGGCTCGTCGTCGTCCTCTTTGAGATCGAACGACACGGACCGTCGATACGGCTGATCGAGTGAGCTTACTGATAGGCTAGACGATTTCACCATTATCCCGCGGGGGCGCGGGGGAAACCCGGTAGGGGGAGAATGAGCTTTGTTCCCCGGCCCCTCATGGCCTGCGGCTCCTCCGCCGCTGCGCACGCGCGCTACAGTTCCCCCGCCGCTGATGCTGTTGACGCGGCGTGGACCTGACTCGCCAAAGTCCGAGCCTGAGCGCGAGGCTCGGTCGCCCTTAAGGCTGCCGGTGCTGCGGACCGAGTCCTGCCGCGACACGGCATCCCAAGCCTTTTCCGCGCCTCGCAGTCGTGCGGACCGAGGGGAGCCCACGGATCGCGGAGAGCCAACGGACCGGGGAGAGCCCATCGCGCGCGGAGAGCCCACGGCGCGCGGGGAGCCGACAGCACGCGGGGAGCCCAATGCGCGCGGTGAGCCCATACTGCCCGCGTCCGAGTGGCGGATGGAAAGGGGGGAAAGAGATAGCGGCGACGCGGAGAGCGGGGAGGCGGAAAGCGGAGAGGCGCGGGATGGCCTGGGCGCGGCTTGCTTCGGCGGTCGCCATCGATCTGCGCGCTGTTCGCTGTCCGCGCGATGATCCCTGTACGCGCGGTGATCGTGGTCCGCGTGATGACCGTCGTGCGCGCTCTCGGTCTCCTCTTGGAAGTCCTCTATGTCGTCGTCGGCAATCTCGAGGCGCGAGCTGCCGAGCGACGCGGAGCGGCGGTGCCACCCCTCGTGGAGGCCCTCCTTGCGCAGCGACTGCACCGCGGGCGGCGCGCGCGGAGAATCCCCCGATCTGGTGTGCGCCACAGGGCGGCCGGCATTCGAAGCGGTGGTGCCCCGCGCGCCGGGCCGCGCGAGCGGCGAGGGTGAGAGCGACGAG